CGCACTTGTCCGCGCCCGCGGCGGGGACGCCGCTCACCCGTGCTTGTTCTGATGTGTGTGGTGTGGACGGTAAACCGGGGCCCCTGGCCGCTTCCTGCGGACCTGCCCACCCTCCGCTGGCGGTGGGGCGGGGAGCGGGCTGTCCCCTCGACCGAGTGACGTGGTTCATGTGAAAGTGGCACGCGGCTGCTGAGTATTTCTCTCCCCACAGCCCCAGATTTGCGGGACTGAAAACGTCAGCGTGGCAGCTGCGGGTCCCGGCAGAGTCTGAGGCCGGGAGGGTGTGAGCGTGTCCGGAGCCTCGGGAAGGGGCTGGCGCGGAGCGCAGGGAAGGAAGCAGGTTCCTCTGGAACAGTGGTTCTCAACCTTCTGGCCCTTTAAATACAGTTCCTCATGCTGTGACCCAAGCATAAAATTATTTTCGTTGCTACTTCATAACTGTAATGTTGCTACTGTGATGAATCGTCATGTAAATATCTGATATGCAGGATGGTCTTAGGTAACCCGGTGAAAGGGTCGTTCGACCACCAAAGGGGTCGCGACCCACAGGTTGAGAACCGCTGCTCTGGACGGTTATGGGCTTTGTCCCAAGGTCTGCGTGTCTTTCTCATATACCGACTGATTCTGTGCTTAGGATGTAAAACCATTCCTTTGTTTTTCTAAAAAAAAAGAAAAAAGAAAATCGGGTTTTTCTGTGATCATTTTCTGGACCTAAAATTGGTGGTTTTTCTCTACACCTGAGCAAGAGGTCCTGAACGGAGTTGTTGGGTTCTGGTGGAGTCATTCATAAAGAGAAACTCAGTAGAGACATTCGGATTGGGGAAACAGAGGTAAAATTTATTATCTGATTGCCTTCCTGTTAGGACCTAGTGAAGAAAGATGTGGGTGGTTTTTAGTTTGCGTGTTAATATTGTCAACATAGACCTTTGTCTTTCCTTTTTCTGGGGAATTTCTGTTAAAATCTTTGAGGCAGAATGGCTGGGAATTTCAGGAAACTTTGTACAGTACTTCCTAACCAAATAAAACAGATGAAGTGATTTCAAAGGTTCATTCAGAAATGCAGGGAGTAGGGTGAAACTTTCCTACTATTTATTTTATCATATATTATTTTACCAGATTTTTTGGAGAGAATTGCCCTGAAAAATGATCAATAGTGTTTTCTAATTAGAGCAAGAGTACTGACTTAAATATTTTGAAAATGCAAAGTGCTTTTTAAAAACCGATTGTTAAAAGTACTACAACATCCTCTTCAAAAAATAGCTACCACTTTACTGAGCTTCTGCTATAATGGTGGGTGATTTACTTATAAGTTCTCATTTTAATTTTCACAGTAGGTTTTAAAGAGCTTAAGTAACAACTATTAGAGTTGATATTTGAACTCTGCTGTGAGATACTTCAATCCTATCTTTTACCTTATAGCAAGGAGGTAGCTTTATGATGTATAAGGTAGAACCTGGGAAATATATATATAGCACAGCAAAGTTGCATGTGCTTAGTTTTTGAAGTAACTTTTTGAGATACCTGGTGACCATAATTGCCTTAGTTTACTTTCAGCCCTCTGGAGCTGGCATAGTGCATGGCAGGTAGAAGGGAAGGAGAGCTGCTTAAGTGGGCATAGAGGTGGAGGTAGGAGGTGGTGGCTGCATTCTGAGAATGCACTCTGGCTACCCTCTTAACGGTTTGACCCTTGAAGCAGAGCGGCAGTCGAGGGAGAGAGGGTAAAATTAGGTACTGGCAGTGTGTGGAGAAAGGTGCTCTTCCCTTCTGATCTCTAGAATGGAGTTGTTGGATTTCCAGGGATCTCAGGCTCCTGACGTGCCCATTCATCATGCTTCCCTCAGATCTGTTATTCCATAGAATATTCATGCTGTTAAATTAACCCTCTCATTACCCACCCTCCAAAAAAAAAACCCCAAAACTAAAAAAACTTTTTCCTCTAATGCAGCCCTCTCAACTGAAAAGGGATACCATCTGTTACTAAGTTATGCTGAAGTGAACGTCTGATAGCTTCCTTTCCAGGATTGTATTCTTGTTTCACGCTAGTGCACTTCCATGCAGAGTAGAACAATTTTCAGATTTCAAGTCTTCGTAGCACAAACTAGACCATTTGCATTTTGCTTTTTTTCTCAGACTAAAACTGGAAAGAGAGAAAAGGAAAAAGTATTTATTTATTTATTTTTATTGATTTCAGGGAGGGAGAGGGAGAGATAGAAACATGAATGATGAGAGAGACTCTAGCTGGTTTGTCTCAGTGGATAGAGTGCCGGCCTGCGGATTGAAGGGTCCCAGGTTCGATTCCGGTCAAGGGCACATGCCTGGGTTGTGGGCTCATCCCTAGTAGGGGACGTGCAGGAGGCAGCCAATCAATGATTCTCTCTCATCATTGATGTTTCTCTCTCCCTCTCCCTTCCTCTCTGAAATAAATAAAGAAATATATATATTTTTATGAGAGAGAAACATTGATCAGCTGCCTCCTGCACGATCCCTACTGGGGATCAAGGTACGTGCCCTTGACCGGAATCAAACCTGGGACCTTCAGTAGGCAGGCAGATGCTCTATCCACTGAGCCAAACCGGGTAGGGCTATTTTACTTATTGATTGATTTTAGAGAGAGGAAGGGAGAGAGAGAGAGAGAGAGAGAGAGAGAGAGAGAGAGAGAGAGAACGAGAGAACATTGCTTTGTTATTCTACTTATTTATGCTTTCCTTGGTTGTTTCATGTGCCCTGACCGGAGATCGAACCCCCAACCTTAGCTTTTTGGGATGATGCTTTGATCTCTAACTGAGCTAAAAAGCCAGGGCCTAAGGAAGAGTCTTTTAGATTAGAGGTCAGTTTACAGCCTCAGTGGAATTTAGAAATCTTTACTGGTAGAGGGGAAGTGTCCACCTTATATAGTTTTGTAAACCTCATCTGATTCAAATTCCAGGGTCCATGTAGATCAGGCCACCATTTTCTGGGTGTCTCTGGGATGAACAGGATGTCATAACCTTATTAGGGATCCAGTATCTAAAAGTCCCTGAGTTGAAGGTCTCAGGATCCTTAGAGGGTTGGATTCCTACACAGTTGCCTTATTCCTCCAGGTTTAGAGCTAATCATTGGCTCTGAGAACTCCCCTTTTCTTGACTACTATTTGGCAGTGATTTTCAACCAGTGTGCTGCAAGACTTTTTAAAACATGCAATACCTGACTAGTCACGGTCCCTGAACTCTTTTCCCTTAGATTGTGAAATAAAAAAAAATGACAATAGCCAACACAACAATAGCCATCTGGTGTGAATGAATCAAACTTATACCTATTTTTTTTTTGTCAGATCAGCATAAAATATATTTTTTTGGTTTGCCACAGAATTTTAGTAATTAGTTTATGTGCCATGAGATGAAAAGGGTTGAAAATCGTTGTGATAAGGTAATCAATCCAAGTACCCATTCTGACAGATAATTAATTTTTTTCAATTACATCCCATATTCTGTATTTGTTTCAGATGTACAACAAAGTGGTTTGAAAATCATGTTTCACTGCTTCAAGTACCCACCTGGCCCCATACAGTTATTGATATTACTGACTGTATTCGCTGTGCTCTAATCTACATCTCTGCGACTGTACTGTTACTACCAATTTCTACTTTTTCACCCAGCTCTCCAACCCCTCTTCCCTCTAATAACTGTTATTCTGTTCTCTGTATCTATGAGTCTGTTTCTATTTTGTTTATTTTGTTCATTAGATTTCACCTATAAGTGAAATCATGTGGTATTTCTCTTTCTGAGTTATTTCACTTAGCATAGTACTCTCTAGGTCCATCATGCTGCCACAAAATGTAAGATTTCATTCTTTCTTTAAGCCCGATTGGTATTCCATTGTGTAAATGTACCGCAGCCTTTTTATCCATTCATCTCTGGATGGGCACTTGAGTTGCTTCCATACCTTGACTATTCTAATATATAAAAAGCCAGGGGCCCTCATGACCGAAACAACTGGGCGGACGACAAAACAGCAGGCTGCGTGGGGCAAACAGGCTGGCAGGATGGTTAGTGAGGGATGACCAAACGACTGAACAGCAGGCTGCATGGGGCGACCAGGCAGGCAGGAAGTTAGTGAGGGACGACCAAGTGACTGAACAACAGTCTGCGTGGGGTGACAAGGCCAGCAGGGGGCGCAGTTGGGGGCAACCAGGCTAGCAGGGAAGGGGCAGTTGGGGGCGACCGGGCCAGTTGGGGGCGACCGGGCCAGTGGGGGGGGCGACCTGGCCAGCATGTGGGGCAGTTAGGGGTGATCAGGCCGGCAGGCAGAGGCGGTTAGGGGTGATCATGCTGGCAGGGGGACAGATAGGGGCAATCAGGCAGGCAGGCAGGTGAGCAGTTAGGAGCCAGCGGTCCTGGGTTGTGAGATGGATTTCTGACGGCGATCCCGGGGATTGGGCCTAAACCGGCAATCGATATCCTCTGGGGAGTCCCGGATTGGAGAGGGTGCAGGCTGGACTGAGGGGACCCCCACCCCCCCAAGCATGAATTTTGTGCACTGGACCTCTAGTCTATAATAATAAAAGCATAATATGCTAATTAGACCGGACAGCCAAACTACCTTGCTGACGTACTTCTGGATGAAGCCGGGGCTGTGAGGGGTGAGGCAAGCCACGAGGCAAGCCACCGCAGCTGTGAGGGCCGAGGCAGGTTGCCGTGGCTGCGAGAGCTGAGCCCCTTGCACAAATTTTGTGCATCAGGCCTTTAATTGTAAATAATGCTGCAATGAAAATAGGGGGTGCATATATTATTTTGAATTAGTGTTTTAGGTTCCTTTGGATATATTCACAAAAGTGGAATCACTGAGTCATAAGGAAATTTCGTTTTTAATATTTTCTTAAAATCCTCACCTGAGGATGTTTTACTGATTTTGGGGGGCGGGGGGAGAGAGTGAGAGCGAGAGCGAGAGAGAGAGAGAGAGAGAAAGAGAGAGAGAGAGAGAGACATTGATTGGTTGCCTCCTGCATGAGCCTCAACAAGGTCCAGGGATCAAACCCATAACCTAGGCATGTGTCCTAAATGGGAATCAAGTCCGGGACCTTTTTTTTTTCTTAAATTAAATCTTTATTGTTCAGATTATTATAATTGTTCCTCTTTTTTCCCCCCCATAGCTCTCCTCCACCCAGTTCCCACCCCACCCTCTGCCCTTACCCCTCCCACTGTCCTCATCCATAGGTGTACGATTTTTGTCCAGTCTCTTCCTGCACCCCCACACACCTTTCCCCCCAAGAATTGTCAGTCCACTCCCTTTCCACGACCCTGATTCTATTATATTCACCAGTTTACTCTGTTCATCATATCTTTTATTCCCTTGATTTTTAGATTCACTTGTAAATAGATATGTATTTGCTGTTCATAATTTTTATCTTTACCTTTTTTTTCTTCCTCTTCTTAAAGAATACCTTTCAGCATTTCATATAATGCTGGTTTGGTGGTGATGAGCTCTTTTAGCTTTTTCTTATCTGTGAAGCTCTTTATCTGACCTTCAATTCTGAATGATAGCTTTGCTGGGTAAAGTAATCTTGGTTGTAGGTTCTTGGCATTAATCACTTTGAATATTTCTTGCCACTCCCTTCTGGCCTGCAC